ACTCGATGTGATGAATAGAAAGAAAATATATTTACTATCGGGTAGATTCACAAAAACTATTTGGAAACGTCATTATGTTTCTGTTGAATTTAATGAGCCGCCACTTGTAGAAATACTTGATATTGCTATTCATTGTGCGTAGGCGCATGCAGCTGCGCCACATATGTTTTTATTGAATAAAATATTTCCAGTATTTGTTAGTTCCGTAATACAGACGCAGGGTGGCAGTCGTTCATAGATTGATATGTATACTATTGGAGAACACAATTTCATATTTTCTGACGTTTAAACCATGTTTAGTCCCTATATATACTTAGAACGTTATTTCCTCGCATGTATATTGTATAAGACTCGATTAAGTAAACTATTACGAGTGTTATTATTAGGACTTTTTATTAGTATGAAATCTGAGCGATCTGTAATTGTAAATGTGTTCTATGTTTTTTTTTAATAAATATTGTTAATATTTTTTATTTCATTTATGTACTCATAGATGAAATAAGCATCAAGGCAAATCTTTACTAAATCTTTACCATGAGGGCACTGGGAGCCCGTGCCCAGGGGGCATCCTCAGGGGGCCCTAAGGACCGACAATTTCTACGACGGTGACACACTCTACCTACACGTTGCTCGGCAACTGGCTGCCGTGGAATGTGTAGCAGCTTCGATACCCGCACAAAGCAAATCTTTATGTGATTCACAAATTAATGTCTGCGTTAAACAATTCAAAAAATCCAAAAGGGCCAAATTATTGTATGCCAATGAGCCCCAGCGGAGTCTAAGACGGCCCTGCTCATACAGGTACAGGGTGTAAATAAAACGCTCCCGAAAACACAGACAAAAACATTTTTCTTTTTGTGTTATTAATGCAACATTAGCCTTGAGCCGTTCGTTACAACTATCATTAGATAAAAATGTTTGTTAATAAAATTATTTTTTTACCATCACTTAAGTTTTTACTTACTTATTTTTTACTATGACTTAGTATTTTTTTAAGTTTGGGAGAGTCGTGCTTCTCCCTCTCGCCCCTCCCCTTCCCCAATCCCTGAATCCCCAACGATCCTCAAGCTCCTAATCCCCAAATAGCCGGAGACGCACTTGTAACACCTCTGGTATTCCAGGTGTCCATGGACGACGCCGATTGCTTATCATCAGGTGATCCGTTCGCTCGTTTACCGGTTTATGCCATAAAACAAATCACCTGTCTTTGTGTTTTGGAAGCATTCCGGTTACAACCTGTATTATTAGTACAATATAAACGTACACACACACACACACACATACACAAACATAAAAACTACATCAGCAGCAAATTTTCAATCTCACTCAATTCAATCATAAAATCGCTTTTGAATATAAAATCTTTGACGCGAACTTTATTGCCATTTTACGTGCAATATCATACATTTGTCACTGGATCCTTTTCACACCAGATTGGAAACTAAAGAGCGCTTAGGGAGCATAGAATTTATACTGTCACTCTCCATCTCGAGTTTTTATTCTCCGGAGAAATAGACTGGGAGGTGCATATTAAATGTTGAATGTTTTTCACTTTTTGGTACGTTAGTTAGATCTCTTTTTAGATTACGATATCGACGGTTGCAATCGGGGACAGCTTGTGCCCCGATGCTGCTCGTTGCTGCTCGTTGGCACAAGGAGGAGGAACGCCTCTCGGAAGCGCGGGCTATGAGCCTCCGCACACAGCCCGCCGCCTCCAGAACCCATCTAGGGTTCGCCCGCCCTGTCCAGAAGTCTGCTGCGGGCGACAGTCACTCCAACCCTATCACCCCTGCTAGGGAGACTGTCGCCCGCACCCAGGGTTATGTTACGTATCTGAGTTTCATGTACTGGGGATAGAGTAAAAATTATCTCACACCTAACAAGTACGGCTGCGGCTTGGCTCCGGCACGATTCAAAGCCAGAAATTATATTGTCATTTAAAAAATGAACTTTAAATCGTATGTCATATGACATATTTCATAACGTCAATATAAAAAAGCTGCTGTATTCGTGCCGGCGCGAGCTACGCACTTACAGCCTTTTTGTATTATTTCCAAAGCAATAAACACCGTGCCGGAATCGTGCTGATGACCTTTAGAGTCATAAAGAAAAGAATGAAAACCTGCACCTTTTTTGGAAGTCGATCAAAAATTACTACTTCGAAAGTTATAAACTAAAAATTCGACACGATTGATTCAAAAATGGATCTTGAATGCCTTTTTTCTAGTAATTGCACTTGTGAGCACCAACTAAACAGAACCGAAGTTTACTTTTTTATAGGATACGGAGCAAATTTGTAACTGTTACAAACCTTCAAGAAAAGAGCGTACCTATTCCTTTTTAAAAGGCCGGCAACGCACCTGTGACTCCTCTGGTGTTGCGGGTGTCCATGCGCGGCGCTGATCGCTTACCATCAGGTGCTTATTTGCCTCCTATATGTCGGAGGATGGTATGGGCGATGTCAAGCGAGAGCCCTCTTCGTCATATATATCGGTAGAGGTATGTTTATGCAGTAATAAAACAATTAAATCTTCGTAAATAAAGTAACGTTTACTTTCGACAGTGCACCTTTACTTGTTCGCATTTTAATTAAGTCGGCATTTCCTACGGACTACTCTGAGAAGAAACGCCGAAACAAACTCAGAGGTCTCAGTCCCTTTCAAAGTTTACAAATGGTCAAAATACATCAAAGTTTAGTCCACTTACATTGTAATAATATTCACAGTTATAATCTCAAACAATATAATGTCAATGACAATTTCACAGAGTCGGCATTTCCTACGGACTATTCTGAGAAGAAACGCCGAAACAAACTCAGAGGTCTCAGTCCCTTTCAAAGTTCACAAATGGTCAAAATACATCAAAGTTTAGTCCACTTACATTGTAATAATATTCACAGTTATAATCTCAAACAATATAATGTCAATGACAATTTCACAGAGTCGGCATTTCCTACGGACTACTCTGAGAAGAAACGCCGAAACAAACTCAGAGGTCTCAGTCCCTTTCAAAGTTCACAAATGGTCAAAATACATCAAAGTTTAGTCCACTTACATTGTAATAATATTCACAGTTATAATCTCAAACAATATAATGTCAATGACAATTTCACAGCACTGATTCTGATGATTGCAATCATTATTCGGCCGACAGCATTCCCAGTGCGTCGTTGTTCGTTCGGAGTCCCAGCCAAAAAGTGCCTGCTGTTCTGCGATGTTGAAAGTCACTCAATCTCCCCCACTCTTAGGCGGACATGACGTCACAATTTACTCTTGAAGCGCGCCATCTTTATTCATTTTGTTGTTATTCCTTCGTTTTGTAGTAAATCGAAATCTCGTACTAATGACCGTTCCGACATATAACGTAAAAAAAAAATAAGCAGACAGATCATCAGTGATCTTAGGATAGAAAGAGATTAGTGACACGCACAGACCCGCAATACCAGAGAGGTTACAAGATCATTACGTCTTTTAAAAAGGACATAAAAGCTGTGACTTTGTATAATTATAATTTCAGCATCAGTATAAAAGCCTTATTTTGTAATATTCAAATATTACACTTTTTATTATCAACAAAATGTAGAAAACTTATGTTTTAATAAATTGGGTCTTGACCTCTTTTCATGTTATGTGAATACGAGTAGCTAGCGATAGGAGCCAGGGTACAAGTGAAGAGAGATTGATCGGTATCGTATTGTATCTACCACCGATTACAAATTACCAACTCGAATGTTCACTAATCTCGAACCAAAATGTCAATAGTTTAGAGCCTTCGAGAGCCTCATTGTCGAGTGATTACTAGTACGATTACCGCGGTTTCAAATTCGAAGACTGGGTCTAGCGACGAATTTGAGATTATCGAAATCTCGTAATGGCATAGCGTGCAATCGGATTTTTTTTTAGAGTGGAAAATCATTGATTAACTTATCCCGCCTGGAAGACGCGGAAGGAAGTGTCAGACTCTTACTGACTAAAAACCACCCCGTTCCTACTCCTGCTTTTCGAGCCGGAGCCCCGGTAACCTGTTAAGTCTTCCGCGGCTCCGTATCGGTATCAACCCTATTGGGCCCCGTCCGTGGTGGTCTGATGGCTTTGTAAGGTGCGCGCGGAACGCGACGCGCCGACGCTCGGGTCTGGTTCTGGCCGGGTGGCGAGCCACCCATGCTCGCCATCCGCAGGCCCGTGCTTACGATGGCCGGAGATCGTCCTGCGTCCTCTTTAGCTAGCATGTCTACTAGCTGCTGTTACAAGTGATAAGAGGTCCGACTGTTATAGTATGCACCTGTTTCTAACCCTTTAGATAATAAAAGGCGAAGTGTTGTGTTTATATTAAAAACTAGCACCACTTCGTCTCGGTTATGCTTCTAACTTATACCACACGCAAAGGAATTAATTCAATAGCAACAGAAAGCAGATTGCTTCGTGTGAAGGCTGGAGTGCGGTAACAAGTTGCTTAAATTGTAACAGCTGTATTATTTATATTATTACAGGATTATACATCATTTTAAAATATATTAAAGTTACGTACATACATAACATCACGCCTTTCATCCCCGAAGGGGTAGGCAGAGGTACACATTACGGCACTTAATGCCTTAATACCACTACAATGTAGCACTCACTTTTCACTATTTGCATTATGAGTCCTATGTAATAGGGGTCTACGATATTAAAGATGTAAAACTAATTTTGTAAAATACTAAAATAACTATCGAGACAGACACAAATTCATACCTATCTACTCGACTCATTCAAATAAGTATAAACGTAACTATAAAATACAATGCAACCTGTTCAAGGTAGCTCGACTAATTTCCAGTCACGACCGGGACTCTTAAACAAGATACGTCGGACATTACCAATAAAAAAACCAGGGGTAAAACACTTCAAATGGCAAAATAAAACGAAACATAGCATCGAAAGGACTATAATTGTATACTATATAATATTCAGAACTGGACATAAATATAATATAAATAAAAAGTACTCGTTATACCCATAACTACCCACTCTTGTGTCAATATTTCGGTCCACAGCTTCCACCTTCATAACATGTACCTTGTTACAATGTTACGGAATCATTTTTCCGAGACTGAAAATAAATAATTGGATTACATAAAAATATAAGTGACAAAAAACATATAAAAAGAAAGAAAAATCATGTTTTATTGATATCAAAACTGTTTACTTGTATGTAGAAGAAATAATTTTTTTTTTTTTGTTTTGGCGTTCGATTCCCGCACGGACCAACTATTTGTGTGATCCAAAAACTGTTATTTCGTTCGTGACACCCATCATGTGTATGTGAACTTGTATGTTTGTAAACGCACCCACGACACAGAAGAAAATCCTAGTGTGGGGCAACGTTTCAAAAAAAATTATTTGACCAATTTTTTTTTTATAAGCCGGTAAACAAGCCGACGGGTCACCTGATGGTAAGCCATCTTCATCATCAAAGAATTTGAGGATTGTGCGGGATTCATGGATCGGAACAGACTGGGAAGGGGAGGGTAGTTGTAATTGGGCCTCCGGTAACCTCAATCACACGACGAAAGACAACGCAAGCGTTGTTACACGTCGGTTTTCTATGAGGCCGTGATATCACTCCGGTCGTGCCGGCCCATTCGTGCCGAAGCATGGCTCTCCCACACTTTTATCATTAGGTACAAATTACATAACATAACATCACGCCTTTTATCCCCGAAGGGGTAGGTAGAGGTGCACATTATGCCACTGTACAATGTAACACCCACTTTTCACTATTTAAATTATGAGTCCCATGTAATATGGGGTGAGCCTATTGCCATATACCGGGGACAATTCCAGACTCCGTGCTACTGCTGAGAATTAAAAACCAAGTTATATTTTGCCCGCCCGAATCGAACTCGAGACCCCTTGCTCGGCAGCCGCACTTGCGACCACTCAGCCGACGAGGCAGTCTAATCAGGTACAAATTATAGTTTAAATAACGAAGCTGTAAACCCACTACTTACTTAGTAAGATCTCTTCTTGGACAGCCGGCGAAGTTTAGATGCCTTACTTCTTTTAGGACTAGTCGTCGCACTTTGTGGTCCAGGTAGATTCTGAAAAATAATTTTAAAAGATACCATATTAGCTATAGACTTCTTGGTTAAGTATCAGTGAGATGATGTTTGGTATATGGCAAAGAGCTCACCCCCTATTACATGGGACTTATAACATAAATAGTGAAAAGTGGGTTACATTATACAGTGGCATTAAGTACCGTAATGTGCACCTCGGCCTACCCTTTCGGGGATAGAAGGCGTGATGTTATAATAACGATGATTATAATTATGATGATGATGATGGTGACGATGATTAGTGAGATTATCTTACTATCCTACTTATATTACAAAAGCGAAAGTTTGTGAATTTGTTTGTTTGTGTGTGTGTATGTTTGTTTGTAACA